GTTTTTCAGGATTAATATTTCTGCATATGAACTCTAGGATCTCGGCTTTTAGTTACTCTTAATTTCCTTTGGTTATATTATCAAGCTGCAGTTTATATTTTTTCTAGTTGTACACTTGTATGAATTTTCCCAGGTTTCACATATGAAATGAACATTAGAGACAATGAGTACATACAAACAGTTGTGACTAACAAATGGTGTAGCGCAATGGGAAATACAGCAGTTAAATATCTTAAACAGTAGCTCTGCTCTTCAGCTCATGAAAATAAATTTCACACATCTCCATCTCCTTTTAATAACATATTCATATTTTATATGTTTTTACATTTTTCTATTAATGACAATGTATATGTGTAGGTTTAACACTCCATTCCTGAAAATGCTTGAATAAAAGCAAGACGACATGGTACAGACAGACGCCAAGATACTAGACAACGGAGAAGACCAGGGAGAATGTCCCTGGTCCTATTAGAATTACTTATGAATGGCAGAAAGGTCCAGCAGCTGTGGGAAGAACATAAACAAGCACTGCCATAGTTCAGAGCCTCTCTCGGAATATATATACCCTATCCTCACCCTCAGACAACGTTTTTGTAATCCGTGAGGAATCCACTCTTTTGCTCACGAAGTTTCAGGACCTTAAAACAAATGAACCCCACAAATACCAGGACCCGATATTTAGGGCCTGGCCAGTGAAGCTGCAACCCAAATCTCTTTTGTTCTACTTTATACTACAGCAATCCTTCCTATCTGCACCAGACACACCCCTGTCCTTTCTGAGAGAATACAAGCGCCTTCTCACCTTTTATAATACTACAGCAATCCTTCCTATCTGCACCAGACACACCCCCGTCCTTTCTGAGAGAATACAAGCGCCTTCTCACCTTTTATAATACTACAGCAATCCTTCCTATCTGCACCAGACACACCCCCGTCCTTTCTGAGAGAATACAAGCGCCTTCTCACCTTTTATAACCAACACGTCTACAGATTTCCTTTGCTCACTAAATCTCTAAGTCCCAAGTCAAAGTCCAGCTGAAATTCTACCTGCTCTCTGAAACATCACCTTATCCTCCCCCCCACACACGGCGACTCTTCTTACCCCCCCCCACACACACACGGCGACTCTTCTTACCCCTCCCCACACACACACACACACACACACACACACACACACACACACACACACGGCAACTCTTCTTACCCCCCCACACACACACGGCGACTCTTCTTACCCCCCCCACACACACACACGGCGACTCTTCTTACCCCCCACACACACACACACGGCGACTCTTCTTACCCCCCCCCCCACACACGGCGACTCTTCTTACCCCTCCACACACACACACACACACACACACACACACGGCAACTCTTCTTACCCCCCACACACACACACGGCGACTCTTCTTACCCCCCCCCACACACACACACACACACACACGGCAACTCTTCTTACCCCCCCACACACACACGGCGACTCTTCTTACCCCCCACACACACACACGGCGACTCTTCTTACCCCCCCCACACACACACACGGCGACTCTTCTTACCCCCCCCCACACACACACACGGCGACTCTTCTTACCCCCCCCCCACACACACACACAGCGACTCTTCTTACCCCCCCACACCACACACACGGCGACTCTTCTTTAACTTGGATAAACAGCATCGGGCCCGCCCCTCTGAAGGAGACCTACAATCTCATTCTCCATAACTTACAATTGTTGATGCTTCTCTTAGACTACAGCCTCCTTGAGAGGGTCTCTGATACAGTCATAGCTGCATCCATCTTTCCTATTTCCCCTATTGCATCCATACACAAAAATAATGCATGTTCATGGAGGACAGTCTTTCAAATACTCGGCTACAAGAATGAAATAAAAGTCACTATTCTGGCATTTCTACATTTATTGTATACAAGAAGGATCATAAACCCTGTCCTCTCAGAGCGTTATAATCTGGGAGGTGATCTAAGACAGAGGTTCTCAACCTTCCTAACACCACAACCCTTTAATACGGTTCCTCATGCTATCATGACCCTCAACCAGAAAAGTATTTTCATTGCTACTTCGTGACTGTAATTTTGCTGATACAAATCCTAGTGTAAAAACCTGTGTTTTCCAATGGTCTTAAGCAACCCCTGTCCCGTGAAAGGGTTGCTCAACCTACAGGTTGAGAACTGCTGATCGAAAACATCTATAGGATACTAACAAATACTATAAGAGAATAAAAATGAAATATAACAGGAATGAACAATGAAAGATTATTTCACTTCAAAATACAGATGGACTGTGAATATAAACTTTAAATTTTTAGTTTATTTTGTTTTATTATGGTGGGTTTTTTTTTTTTTTTTTCCCGTTTCTGCAGGTATGTCTGTGCACCAGATCCCTGGGGACCAGAGTTACAGTCAGCTGGGAGCTGCCATGTGGGTGCTTGGAAGCAACCCTAAGTCCTTAGCAAGAACTTAACTGCTTAAAACTTAACTGCTGAGCCATCTCCTGCCCCAAGCTTTAGTATTCATGCTGAGCCTTGAAAGACAATTACATTTATGTATGTAGAGACAAAGAATAATAAGACAAGGAAATGTAAGCCATTAAGGCAAGAAACCTCAGGATGATACAAGAATAACCAATAGTAGAAGTCATGCAGAAATGGATGTAGGCAGAGAGAGAGAAAAAAAAATTGAAATTATTAGAGCTATTTACCTAGATCCTGAAAACCAAATAAGAAACTGAAACCTTACTTTTTCTATGAGAATATATTCCAAAGTTCCTGAGAGGCTAATAAATGGCTATTAGGTCTATTGTGGACTGGAAGAAAAGCCTGCTAAAGGAGATAAATGCAGAGGCCAGTGCCATGATAAAACAAAGAAGTAATTTATTAGGACATGATCAAGGGAGGAGGCACAGGGGATAAAAACAGATGAGCAGAAGCTATTGTAGACACGACAATGTCACACTCTGGATATGAACCACAAAGAAACTCTGTATACAGGCAAGAGGTATTTCTCTGCCAGGAAGAGAGAGGCCGCTGCCTATTAAGGTAAAGGACACGAAAGGACAGCAAATTTAAACAGGAAAAAACTGAGCCCCAGTCACACTGAATAGTACCAGTAGGCAAGCAGATCACGGCATCACAAAGAAACCATGATAAACTCTTCTCTGGGAACAAGTAACTTTGTAAAATATGAGAAAAATACTCCAAACAATCCTGATTATCACTAGTGGTTCACATGTGCCTGGAACCTTAAAAACAAAAAAATGTAAGTGCTATCTCTGGGTCATTCCAAAGCAATCTCAAGTGCCGACAAAAAACGCTAAAAGAATGAATGAGCTGTAGTCACTGTTATTTGGTCTCAATTCAGCTACAATACCACAGTAAGAGGTGGTCAAGACAGACGTCCAGGTCTACTGACAAGGAGCCAGAGGGTACTAACTACATCTCTTCATGCATTCTGTCTGTTCTGTAGCAAATGCTTCTCCTCAGTTAATAAAGCTGGGATCTACCTAGACCAACCCCTACCATTGCTGTACCTAAAACTGGCAAAAACTACATTATTATGAAATCTTGTGGGGGGATGATAACTCCTCAGTGATAAACTCATCAGGGTCACAGCCATCTCAGGTCCTCATATTCTTAATTTAAAAAATTATCTAAGCTGAAAATAAAGGTGAATGCTAATTATACATACACTGAATTAAAAAACAAGACCAAACGTTTGCACTGCGGCTTCTTGCTGGCCGCTTTACTCTTTTCACTCTTTACTCCTTTGGGGAGCCCACCACTCAGCTCCCAAATAAGTCACATGGGGGCTTATTATCACTTAAGAGTGCCCGGCCTTAGCTTGGCTTGTTTCTTAGCTTGGCCAGCTTTTCTTAAGATATCCCGTCTGCCTTTTGCCTCTTTCTCTGCCCTGTACCTTTCTTTACTTCCTGTCCCCTGGCTGGCTGGGTGGCCGCCCCTGATGTCCTCCTCCCCTTCTTTTCTCGACTCTCCTTTCTCTTCCCTCTTTTTCTCCTTCTGTTTATTCTCTCTGCCTGCCGGCCCTGCCTATGCTCTCTCTGCCCAGCTATTGGCCTTTCCGCTCTTTATTAGGCCATCGGGTGTTTTAGACAGGCACAGTAACCCAGCTTCACAGAGTTAAATGCAACGTATCTTTGCATCATTAAAACAAATATGCCAAGCATAAATAAATGTAACACATCTTAATATTCCACAACAGTGGCTACTTTGCCTAATAAGTATGTTGTAATTAAGAAATGCACTTATTCATTTACTTGCTATTAAGTAATGTTGGTAATAGAACATTTTCACCAGAGTAATGTCATTATTTCAGTTTAAGTCTCAAAGGAACAAAAAATGAGAAGTCAGCTTTCATTATTAGTGCTTTAATATAAAGAACAAATTGAAGTGAAATACACTAGCTTTACATATTAACTGAACATTAAAATTATATGCTAGTAATCACTTGTTAAAAAAATCACACTGATATTTACGGCTATGCACTGATCTGCAGAATAGATGCCCAAAGATAATCTTGTTTGGTACATTTTTGATTATTTAAGACGGGCTCTTGATTGGTAGCCCAACTGGCTGCAAACTTAGGCTCCTCCATCTTGGTGGTGGGGTTACAGGTGTGTTCCACTGCACTCAACAAAGGGTGAATGGAAAGGAAGAGAGAGAGAGAGAAGGGCGGGGGAGAGGGAAGAGAGAAGAGGGGAGGGGAGGAGGGGTGTGGGAAGACAGTCCCACTCTTAGCCTAAGCTGTCCTTGAACTCATGGGAACCCTCCTGCTTCAGCTTCCCCAGTGCTGAAATTACAGACAGCAGCCACCGTGACGTCAGCTTCCAGTCTTCAGACAGCAGGCAGTAGATGAGCTTTTACCCTCCTTTTGCATGTACTTACAAATCCTCCTTAGCTAATGTCCTGTTATAATCGTGCCAAGAGGAACAATCTGGTTAACGGAGAATTAAACCACAACTTACCAGGTCTCTGTGAAGCACCCAGTTTGCGTGGAGGTAATGGATGCCATCGAGAATCTGGTAGAGCAGGGACTTAACCATCGACCTCGGCAACTGCATGGGCTTTTTGTTTGCTTTAGATGCACGGTGAAACTTAATAATATGCTAAAAATTAGAAAAGAAAACATCCTATAATAATATAGTCTGCTCATATCTCTGCCAAAAGAAAAAAAAATCAAAATTGAAATAAATGCTATATATCTTACAATTAACTTTTAAATTAATGATGCAAAAATTTCTGAATAATAAGGTTGTCCAAAAAATGTATTGAGGATGAATGTGACCTTGTTAAGGAGGGTCTGTAATGATCAGATCTCATGAAAACACTAAGATTTTCACTCTCCAGCCTCGAAGGGTAGAAAGAATTGACACTCAAATGGCTGTCTCAGAACAGTGTTGGTACGGGGTAAGAAGAGACAAGGGCAAACTGTAAAACCGGGCTGACAGACAAGCACAGTACTTTCATATTTGTGTAGCGTCACTGGCACTGGATATATTGAAATCACTGAGAAAATCCTCCCTGTACTCCCTCCTCTAGGCACACAACAGTGTAATCCATACGTTCCCAGAACTTAGTACTGTACAGGAGAGGACATTGCGAAAAGCAGAATTTTAACAACTTGAAGAATTAATTGTCAGGTCTCAGACCTGAGACAAATGGCTGAGGCGTCAATAGCCAGATTGCCATTTTCTTTTCTTTCTTGCTTGCTTTTTTTTTTTTAATGTTCTTTTTTTTTTTTTTTAAGATTTATTTATTTCTTTGTAATATGGAGCCCTATCGGCATGTTCACCTGAATGGCAGAAGAAAGAATCAGATCTCATTACAGATGGCTGTGAGCCACCATGTGGGTGCTGGGATTTGAACTCAGGACCTCTGGAGGAGCAGACAGTGCTCTTAACCTCTAAGCCATCTCTCCAGCCCCCAGACTGCCATTTTCACATCACATGTTAAACATGGATTATAAAAGCACTCATTGGAATGCCAGGGAGGAAAATGTTACAGCCACATGTACCTCCCGCCCTGCACCTGGGAGTTATCATCAACAGCTCTGTAGTAGCATGAGCTTTCAAAGGTCATTCAAGACCTTACAAGCCTGTCCAAGTTGTCCTTATAAAGATTTTCAATTTATACAGAAGGCACGCTGCGACACACTGAACCAAATTTATCCATGATTTAACTGTCAGATTTGTTTTTTTTTTGTTTGTTTGTTTTTTGTTTTTTTTTTTTGGCAGTTTTAGAGACAAAATGTTTAAAACGTTCTGATTCCCAAATTTTAAAGTCAGGAATTGGGTTTTTTCCTTCTTTTATGTATTAATAAGGCATTCTAAAAACTATAATCATAGTTTTCTTTGGTTGACCCAGTTTGAAATACCAAGATAACAGTAAGAGATCACTTTTGATTTAAAAACTACTCACTGGCATATACTGGATGAGAATTGAGCCCTGTGAATTCGACAAACAGAAGCAGTTTTCTCCAAACTGCTTCCTGCACAGGACCAGTCTGTTATCCTAGCAAAACTTCATCCCGGAAACATTTACTGTAACTGCTCTAAACTGGAATGAACAGGGAGCTTTCTTTTCTGTGCATGACTAGTACACACTGCTTGCATACGTGCCCCTTACCTATATAAAACAAACTTACCCAAAGGTCATGCTCCGCATAGTCAAACAGCAGCCACACCTTCCTGTCGCTGTGAGAAAGGAACACCTTCTGCAAGGTGATCACGTTAGGATGCTTCAGTTCTCTGAGAAGCTAAGTGCAAGAGAAAGAGAGGCCACCACTCAGTATCAAGGAGGGCTCAGCAGGGAGTCTGCTCAGACCTGAACAGAGTTTATTTACAACAAGGTTTTCTATAGCTCAGGCCACCACCCTTGAACTCACAACCCATGTGCACCACCATGCCTAGCTTTCAAATGAACTTTTTAGATTTCAGAAAGCCCGGTGAGCAGCATGGAAAGGAAAGACTCTCCGATACCACGCTGGGAGAAAAATTCTGCGGGCAGGCACTTTTCTGATTCTTCCCTACAGCATGCATGTGTGCACATGTGTTTTAAAAACAGGGCTGTCCGAAATGATGCAATGTAAGCGATAGACAAAATGAGTGCTGTGTCCCTATAGAATTCGCTGGGTCTGGGAAAATAGTTCCATCAATGAAGTGCTAACGGGTTCCTGACTGGCCAGTCAGTCTAGCCTACTCAGCAAGTTCTAGGTCAGCGAGAGACTGAATCTCAACACAACAGTAAAGGACTGAGAAATGACGCCCGACGCTGCCCTCTGGCTTTGACATACTTGCACATGCATGATGCATGCATGTACATACACATACACACACACACACACACACACACCCCTCCCCTCCCCCCAAAAGCTGTATTTGGTCCATGTGTATTTTCTTTATGAAAGGATGATCTTCTTGAAAATCAGAAACCGCAGTCAATTTATATTCACCATAGCACAGCATCAGAGCTCAATATATATTCCACAATCAGAGGAAAGAAAACTTAAAATCCTTACATTTACCCACTCCACTCCAGCATCCATGGGGCTTAACAGGCATGGTGAGTCTTATGTGCCCTGATGGTGGCTAGAGTCTGGATCTTGAAAGTCTCCTAAAGTCCTGTATGCTAACAGCTTAGTTCCCAGCTCGTGTGGACATCAGGAAACCCTGGGCTGGATGGAGTGGGACTGTCAGAGTACTGAGCCCTCTCTCTCCTCAGCTTATACCCTGAGAGGCTCTAACTATGAGGTTCTGTGCTATCAAGCCCTAGGCCAAGAAGCATGGCCTAAATCTCTGAAACAAAAGCCACAATAAACCTTTGCCCATAGTTATTTGATTATCAAGGATCTGTGACATCGATGGAAACCTGACTCACACAGCAGAGGTTCTGTACATAAAAGAGAAAGAATGGCCTTCACAATGTACAAGCTTCAGGCTCTACCCTAACAAGAAAGCGACAGCCAATCCAGCAAATAAAACCACCTGCACGTTACAGACAGCAGCCTGATAAACGACAGGAATACTGACACGAGCTTACGGTAAGAGCCTTGTAAATATGCCTGACTCCCACTACTCAATCACGCACGGTTCAGAATTAGTAAGCACAGAGAAGAAGCATACTTGATTTTTTTTTTTTTTTTTTTTTAAAGACAGGAGGAGCTCACCATGCGTGCTGACATATTCCTACTCAGGAGGTCAATGCAGGGGGATTTAAAATTTAAGGCCCATTTGGGTTATAAAGTGAACTCAAGTCCTAGGCTATGTAGTGAGACTCCATCTCAAAACATCAAAACAAAAAGAGGAATGGAATACAGTTCAGTGGTAAAATGCTTCCCTAGCATGTATGAGACCATGAGTGTACACACACACACACACACACACACACACACACACACACCTAATTATGTTAGCCCACACTGGCTCTGAACTTGTGATCTTCCTGCCTCGACCTCCCAAGTGCCGGCATCAGACATGTGTACCACAGGGACTGGAGAGATGGCTCAGCAGTTAAGAGCACTGGCTGCTCTTCCAGAGGGGTGAAGTTCAGTTCCCAGCACCCACACGGCAGCTCTGAAACTGTACATGCGTGCAGGGATGGACCACTGCGCCAGGGTCTCAGCAGTGTGAGCTAGAGAAGGACTTTCACCTCGGCGTCTCTGGATCATCTACGTTAGGCCTGTGTTTGTCATCTGCGTTAGGCCTGTGTTTGTGTTAGTACAGTTTACTCTACCAGCTGCTTACATCTGCCTCCCTATTAACCAGGAGCTGCTCAAAGCCAGTTGAATTTACCGCTGTGTCCCTGGGAAATGAATGGCATACCAGGCACACTCGAGTTCAGTTTGCAGGGTGTTTCGTGTTGGTGGTCTCATCTACGTGAAGGAATTTAGATAACCCTGAACAGAAATGACTTACAAACACCTGCTCCTGCCCACAGTCTTCCAGCCTAAGGCAGCGCCTCTGCGTCAGTGTCTGATCTCTGCTCCATCCGCTCTTCACAGCAAAGGCAACTACTGGGGTGGGGGCTACTTTAGTGTCAGATATCACTTCCTAAGGAAGCCTCCCCTGGCCCTTCCATTACAATGCTTTACAGTTATTTGCTGCTTGTCATCTTCTATTAATAGCAAAGCTTCTGTTGGTTTTATATCCCCAGTGCTCAAAATGGCACATATGACATACTTAAGCACTCAATAATATTTATCAAATGAATTAAACCTATTGAGCCTACCTGGTTCTTATTCATGAAAACAATACTTTGTAGAATACTGGTTTCTTCTGACAAACTATCCTCTATCAAAAAGTGTTTTTGAGTGATCTTTTTTTTTTTTTTTTTCAATCACTTATGAAGAACCCACTAGAAAAGTAACATGTGAATATGTTCATGGACACCGGAAGTCACCATATAAGGCGTCATCCTCAGCTGTCTCCACTTTTACTGCTGGGAAAGGGTCTCTCACTGAAGGCTCACCAGCCAGCAAGCCCCAGCACCGGGTTTACAGCCACACACCGCACCCAGGCTGCTTACGTGGTCCCAGGGCTCCAAAGTCGGTCCTCGAATTTGCACGGTAAGCAGTTAATCAACTGAGCCCTTCATCAGCTCGTGGGGGTATTTTTAAGACCAGTTTACAAATGAAGCCCTAGGTACTAGATAAACATCACACAAAAAGGGTATCACCACCCTGACAAAAAGTCTCTCTACCATGATTTACAGAACCCAGCAAGGAGCAGAAATACATGATCTCACGATCTCAATGATGACAAAATTGATGATTATGGTATAGCTTCTTCTGATATATACTCTAAAGGGTTTTTAAAGACTTTAAAATTATGTGCATGTGGAGGGAGAATGTGACCATGAAGGCATGTGTCTGAGCAGGCAAGAGTCATCAGATCCCCTGAAGCTGGAGTCAGGCGGTTGTGAAGCGCCTGGCGTGGGTGCTCAGAGTCCGACTCACCCTCGGGAATAGCGGAGTAAGCTCTTAACCAGTGAGCGGCATCTCCAGCCCCACTATACGTTCTTAACGAGACACACTGTTATAATGTTGTGCCATAATATTTTAAACATCTATAAAATGATTTGTTTATAGAATAAAATATATAGCAAAGTATTATTAGTACTTTTTTTAATGGTGTAAGATGACAATCACATTTCTTTTTGTTCAACAAATATTTGTTACACATGATATCATGCAACTACAAATATGCATTAGATCCATTTAAACAGCAGTTAAGTAGACTACGATTTCCCATGACGCGCACTGAATGCTAACCTCCGTGCTGGATACTCAATTGCTAACCTAGTAACAACACAACCTTGAGAAGAATATTCAATGGACAAAAATTTTTATCTGATTTCCCTTCCAGAGATTATAAAAACAAACGCTCTAGACGCATTAAAAAAAAAAACCTGACATTAAAGCTCTAATGTTTTTCTCTAAAGCACTGTTTAAGATCTCCACTGGACCTCGGGAGTCTTTACCAAAGACTCCAATGCACACTTCTATTTTTATGCACACACTCTTTTGTGCTGTCTACAACGCTTGCTTGGGTCCCAGACTTTTTAAAAGGGGATTTTGAAATTCTTATAGTCCAGTAACTTACTTTTCCCAAAATAAACCCAACTTGCTATTCTTGTTTGATTTCTTTAAAATAACGATGTGACTCATAGGGCCATCAAAGCTTCTCTTGGGTAAAAACCCTGTCCATGACTTTGTTTTAGAAAGGACTGAGTAAATCAGCTTTAAAACAACAAAATAAAGGAAGCAATGCATTTCATAGTGAGGGCAACTGCCCAATTTCACTGGGGAGTGACCCTAAAGCAGTCATTAATAATAAGCATTTGAAACGTGACACTTTCACACCTTTGACGGGCCTTTTTGAAGCTAATATTTCAAAAGCATATTAGGTACATTGTAAACCTCCAGCAGGTGGCATTCATATTATGAAAGGGGTTTAAGAAGCACAGTAACCCAACTATGGTTCAAGGTCCCTCTAATTTTTCATGTGTACACACACGTACACACAGGCATGCACACTTTCATAGCAATGCTTAGGTAATAGTCATAAGCTCCAAAAAGTCAGGGTTCCCTGTTACTGCTTGTTGCAACACACCACCACATATAATGCAAAAATACACACAGGAGTCCCGGTTCACTAGCAGCATGATACAAAGTTACTTAACTCTGAGTAGTCTTGTGGAAGAATAAAGTTATCTACTCACACAGCAGTTTCTGTAAGGAATAAATGAATATACAGTGGTTAAGCATATAAACTCAATGCTTACAACAAACCAAACTCTTGACAAATTATAGTTATCAATCAAAACTACCATTACTTTCAAGAACATTAAGACAAAGCAAGAATGCAACGATCTATGTAGAATGTATAGCATAAGAAACATTCTTGATAAACAGCAGCTGTAACTGTATTTCAGTTGAAAAGAACTAACCACTAAAAGAATGAGCTACATTTCCTGGCTAAGTGTACCTCCCACTCCTCCTCAAATAAGCCTGTCTACACCAAATGGAGACCATCCCAGAAAACCGCAAATGACACCTTCAATGAAGGTGCAGAGTCCTGCATCTGAGGCTCAGGGAACGCTGCACAAGAGGGGCAGAAAGCGTGAAGAGCCCAAGGACCGGAAGCCCTCTGTGAAAGTCTCCCCCAGAAACGCCTGCACAAACAAGACCAAAGTGACAGTATCTGCAGGCATTTTAACCTGGGAAGGGGGAAACCCCACAGGGGTCCTAGACAAAGA